CACCTGCTGCCCGTCACCACTGTGTGACATCTCCACAGCGGTGTCTGGAACTGGGTCCACTGGGGAGGAATTCTTCCCCTGGCTCCAGCAAGGAGCTTGGTCCCCCTGTTCCTCACTGGAAACACGACTGCTTTTCCAGTACTGTTGGTTCATCCAAACAAGAAACCAGTCAGGAATTTCAGGGACAAAGCTGAAAGCTTTATGAATAAAAGTGGATGGGAAAGGAGGAGAGGTGCTGTTTTCTAGTGTCTTTTAACAACTAGGCTTTCAGTGCAAAAAATAGTGTAAAAAATTTTTAGATAGTAAAAAGAGAATCCAGTGACATTGGTTTTATTTAATTTATTTTAATTAAGTTTCAGGTTCTGTCTGTTCCAGGTTCCATCCAAAGGTGATGACAGGAAATGAGTAAAACCATGCATCTGCTAAGTAGCAAATACATCATTCCTCCCTTTCAGTATTAAAATATGAGTTAAAAATATGAATAAATATCTATATCAACTATATAATTGCTTAAATAGATTTATAAAAATAGAATTTATAAATAAAATTCACTAGTAGAGAGAGAAGTAAAATAACTACTGACAATCAACTTTTGAAAAAACACCTGCAAGATAAAAATATAAATAACATTAAAATTATGCTTTCCTGGTTTTGCTTATTTATGCCAGGATTGGTTAATTAAATCATCCTGACTCACATTAGCCCATCCTTTTCTATGCTGTATAGATTATTATATATATATTATTATTATAGTATATATAGTATAATAGGATAGTATAAATAGTTTTATAATAAATAATATAACTTAAGGCATTCATCCTTTAAATATTAAATTAAACTCGATTATATAGTTATGTAGAGTACCAAGTTATTGTTTCTGGCAAACTGATCCCATAACCACTGACAGGTCACATTCAGCTGGGTCTGCAGTGCCTGTTCATCCCGGCGTGTTAAACCGCTGCTTCCGAGTACATTTCTCTTGTGTTCTGCATGATTTGTTTGTATTTCTTCAGAAACAACCAGATGTAGCTCATGGTGTCTGCCAGCTCCGTGGGCTGTGCCTGTGCCAGGTCCTTGCTCCTGCAGGTGTAAAACTCGGCCCTTTCCCTCAGGGTGCTGCGCAGCTGGATCAGGTTGGCCTGGACCATGTTGCGGGCAGTGGAGTTACAGATGGTTTCCATGTCGCTCCCCAGGGTTTGCAGGGTGCTGTAAATGTGGTGCAGGGCACAGCAGTTGGCGTGGAAAGCTGGGCAATCGGGTATTGTCTTCACCAGGTCCTTGACTTTGGGCTTTTCAAGCAGCTGGGTCTCACCTTGGAGCGGTGGAGAGATACAACCTTCCTGGGAGGGAGGGAGAGCAGAGAGGTCATTGATCCCTTTGGTTTCCATTCTCACCTGGGTGCACTGGGGGTTTTTGGTTGTGGCTCAGTAGCTGTACCAACACCTACACCCCTTTGATCGAGCAGGTGTTGCACACTGGCTGTGGCTGGGAGGGTGCAGTTCCTCTCCTCATGCCCTGCTTGCCTTGGTTGCAGCTTTTCTAAGTGTTGGGTTTTATTCTTTGCCGTGTGGGCAAAATTTACCTGTGCCAAAGATCTGGTTTGGCCTGAGTGTGTTCTCATCTCTTTTGGCAGAGATGGCTTTAATCTCAGCAGTGAATTCAGAGGAAAAAAATCAATGCTGATTTTTATCAACACACTCTTGGAAATGCAATCCCAGGAACTGCAGTTTGAGGCACTGACACTTGGGTGCAGTGCACGTTTCACCATCTCCAGGGAAAGGATGGGTGAGCAGGAGTTTTGGCTGAAGTCCTCAAGCACTAGGATCAGATTGAAGAGAAAGGCAATTCTTGCCATGTTTCCAGTTCCTCCAAAAAGATGCTCTGCCCCAAGCCTAGCATGACTGGAGACTGAGAAGGAACACTGGAAGTTACCTGAGGCAAAGTCAGCCAAGGTTTCTGCAGCTGCCCTGGCCATTGCTCCAACTCTGCCCTCAAATAATGCAATGTCAGTGCTTTTCTTCTTGCATGGAACACAGAGAAGAGGCTATTTTAGCTTCTAACCCAAACATTTCTTTTCTGATGGTCTTTCTAGTCTTATTATAATAATTCAAGAGATTTCTCCACAGACACAGCACGTGCAAAATGGTACTTACATAGTATCCCAACAGGTTAGTTGCTTGGTTTTCTATCACTGATACCAAAGGCTTTATCTCAGTAGTAAAATGCATCAGCCTCTCTCCTGTAGTCATTTTGCTTTCTTTTGTTATCTCTGTTGGTGCTGAGGAGCCCAAAGGAACCAGTAAACAGAAGAGGAAGATGGCAAAGCTGTTGATCTCTGCATTCAAACGGAGAGACGAAAGGAGAAAGAAAAGAAAGAATACGATGATGAGTCTCAACCCTCGGCAGAACTTTTGCAAAGCGTTCTGGGTTTGTGCAGCGTGATAACATTTTCAAAGCACGAAGGGGCTGAGCTGGTGATGAACATCAGCTAGTGATGAACATCAGCCAGTGCACCCTGACAACGTGGAGCGAGGGCAAGGCAGACCCACCTGCTCGGCGTTCCATGGCTTGGCCGGGAGAGCTGCTGGCTGGGAGCTGACCCTGGAGCTGCTGGTGCCTGCAGTGCCGGGCTGGGCCCAGCCAGGCTGCATTTAAGCACCCTGCAGTCCTGCGTCAGTGGCTCCCCCACGGTACTTTTTTCTTTTGCCGGTGATTGTTTGGGGTTTTTTCCCTTTTCGACAGATTACATCAAAAGTTGGTTCAAGTGCGTCTTCGCTGATTGTGATCTAGGTGCAGTTTCCAGCTGACACAGATGGTGTCCTGTGTCATCTGTTTGGTGAGGAGTTTGGGATGCTTGGCTTAGCCATTCATATCGAAGTCCTCGGGCTCTCCAAAATGTAGGATTTAGGATATAAACCCATTTGTGTTTTTAATATAAATGTGGTTGGGCCTTGCAAACACATTATTGCTGCCCAAAGCCAGTGACCTTCTCCTGCAGGGTCAGTGTAGGAGTGGGCCAATCTGTCCCCAGGAGTCGCAAGCATGAGCTCAGGAGAGCAGAACTACTGATGGTTTGGGACAGAAATCAGAGCAGAGGAAACCCCAGTGGATCTACCTTTGTGACACATCCACACTTGTACTTCCCACCTCTGTAATTACAAGTGTGGTGAAAGGTGGTCATAAGTTCAAAAATGAGTGTGTGTCAAGTCACCAGAAGACTTTCAAGGATCAGCATCTTGGTATCCAAATAATCAGTTCTGATTTTCATGTGAAATAGTCCTCTCCGAAAATAAAAAACTTGGTGTGTGCCTGAACTCCTCTGAAGTGACTGGGACTGGTTCAAGGACTGTTCTCTGGGATGAACTGATTCCCAAGGCTGGAAATGGGAAAGGACATTTCCCCTGTGCAGCTCTGCACTGGGGTCCCACCAGGCTGTACCTTCAGCCCTCAGTTGTTTGCTTGAGGCCTCATCAGAGGAGATTCCCAAACTGAAGGTGGCTCTGGGGCAGCACTGAGAGCCAAGCAGAGGCAGCCATCTGGGAAGCTTTTCTTCTTCTGTTCCCAGGTGCTAAATAATGCAAAGAAAGAGATGAGATACCATGGCCTGCAGCGTGGGGCAGCACACAGTACAGCTGAGGGAGAGCTAGAAAAGGATGGTTCTAGCAGGTATTTCATTTATTTGAGATTTTTATTATTATTATTGGGGGATGAAATTGGAGAAAAGGAGAAAGAGATGTTTCTTTGTGCAGGGCATTCTTTAGGAACATCCCTACAAAGACAATGGTGGGTGCAGATGGCTCCTTTCAGGTAGAAGGGTGATCTTGAAGGGATGCTTGTTTGGAAGCACCAAAAAAACAGAGAGATGCAGCTGGCCAGTGCCCCACAGGAAGATGAGATGAAGGTGCATGAGCCAGTCCCCTTCCAGCTCTCCCAGATGGATACAGCCAGGGAGGACAGACAAGGAAGCTGCTCGTCCTCTGAGATCAGGAGTATCTCTTTGTGCAGCGCTGAAGGCAGTGGGGGCAGTTATTTTAAATAGTGATGCAAATGAAAGCAGCAGCACTTTTACATCCTGGCTTTTCCACGAAACACAGTTCAATCACTGCTAATGGTCTTTCAGAGGTTGTTAGATATGACTTTACCCAGTAGGTTGCCTGGTTATTCCACTGCAGGCAATGCCACCATCTCTAGTTATTCCACTGCACCCTCTCTTAGCTGTGCATGCTCTGTTCCTCCTTTCCTGTCCCTACAGGGCTGTGAAAAGCTGCTGAGCTGACAAGGGAGCAGGTCAGCATCCGTCCTGTAAAACCCCACCTGAGAAGTTCAGCTTTCCACCACGCAACCGTCGAACATCACAGAACATCTGCAGTTCACTTGGTGAAGTTCTGCTGACACATGCTGCTGTCAGCTCCCTAAAATGGAATTTGTAGCCATTGCCTCAAAACCTATCTCTGGAAAAAGGAAACCGATCTCAGAGCACGGAGACCTGATGCTGACCTGAGACAGAGCTGTAGCTTTTGGTCCTGGAGTTCACCTTTTTTTTTTTCCAAGTGTGTGAGCTGGTATTTTCAGCTGTGAACTTTGATGGCCTTACGTGGTTGTGGTTTCAGTGCCCTCGGCATGAGTGAAGAGCTGGGCTTTCACAGCTGACTGGGAAACCTCTCTGTTTCTTCCCCAGAACCTGAGTGACTCTCAGGATATAGATAAGCGAAATGGCAAGTGTCATGTCACGGTTCCTTGGCCAGGGGAGAAGGCTGACGATGCACCCTGCGGGCACTGCATGAGGCCCCTGGTGGGGAGCAGCCCCCAGAACCTGGGGAGGATCCAGAAAACCAGGGATTTACTCCCAGCCTGGTGAGCTCAGTGCTGTCCCAGGCTCGCTCCACGCTCCCCTTGGAGAGTTTGTTTGGTGCTCGGTTCCACGGCATCCGCGTCACCACCATCTCCTAGCGACGGGGAGCGAGTCCCTGCACCAGGAATTCCCGGTCAGGCCGGGCTGGATGGCAGCACCCGGCTGCTGCAGCCTCTCGGCTGCCTTCCAGGAGTACCTGCGGCACCTGGGGCTGCAGGACTTCCCCTGCGGCCTCGGCAGCTGGGTAGGGACAGGGTGGCACAGCGTGGGACGTGGCACGGGGCCTGTGGGCAGCAGGGCTGTCACTGCCTCTCTCCCCTCCGCAGAACAAATCCTGCCCCAGTGGCCGCAGGAGCCCCCGCGGGGTCCAGCCCGGGCAGGAGGAGGCTGTGCTGGATGAGGAGACCCCCGAGGCGCTGCTGGAGCTGCTGAGGGACCAGCACAGCCCCTGGGCACTGCCACAGGACTGCAGCCCCCAGGACCGGCTCCTGAGGGAGGTGGCCGTGCTGGCACCCGAGCTCGTCCACGGCTCCAAAGTCTACCAGGTCCTCAAGTCCCTGCGGATGGTCGACAAGGGAGTAAGTGCAGCTGCTGGGGCTGTGAAGGTGTAGGCCAGGAAACCCTGTCTGTCTGCTGGGAGGGGAAAATGTCCTGGGAAAAAGGACACCTTCCCCATCCCGTGGTCTTCCCAGATGCCATTGTTGCTGCTGGGATAGAGCTACTCCCCACACCCTCCCCAGGATGTTGTGCTGGATCAACACGTGTCCATGTCTCCTTGGCCTTGAGGGGCTCAGGGACACGTTGGCCAAACCCAGCTCTTTGCAGGTGGAGGAGGTCGATGAGGGTGTGTTGCAGTTCCAGCAGCTGGAGGAGCTCATCCTCAGTGCCAACCAGATCAGCAGGATCACCTCGGCCAACCTGCCCCGGACACTGAAGGTGAGCGAGCAGCGCCTCGTGCAGGATGGGGAAGGAGGTCCCATCTGGGAATGCAGGGGAAGCCAAACAGCTCCAGGGGTGCCAGGAACAGCTCATTGCAAAGGTGTCTGTTGTTCCCTCTGTCCTGGGCAGGTCCTGGAGCTCTGCTGCAACACTGTGGGCGATCTGGAGGACTTGTGCTCTCAGCCTCCTCCGGAGCTCCAGCACTTGGGGCTGGGACACAACAGGCTGTGTGGCCCTTCCCAGGACAGGTTCTTCACTGGGGATTTCTGGTAATGCCACAGGCTGACCGTGGGCTCCAGAAAGGGAGGTGGGCATGATGTGACCTCAAGCCATCAAGGTGGCCTTTGTTGGGAAGGTACAGCCCTTCAGCAGGGTCACTGCATTGCTTTGCTCTGTCCACTCCCTGTGCACTGTGGTCTGTGTCTGCTGTCACATGCTCCGAGGTTGTCTTGGTCCATGGCCAAGGGGTGGAGTGGGGATATCACCAGGAAAACTGCCTTGACACCCTGCCCACCACAGTTCCCATTTCCCTGGGTAGCTTTTTCCATGTCCTCCCCAAAGCCCCGGCTGGGACTCTGCCCAGGATAAAATCTAAAGGTTAGGCTGCATCACCAAATGATGCAGTGGGGTCATTAATGTTTCCTTGACATGTTTGAGTGGTGGGGCAGGCTGGCAATGGACCATATGGCTCAGGAGTTTGCAGTTGGCCTCTTGGCATTGTATCGTTGGATTCCCAAGTTTGACCCAGTTTGTGTTCAGGAAAATGATTTTTGTTTCTGTTTTTACCCCAGGGCAGGAGCTTCCTATCCTCAGACAGGTGCTTGCTGCTTTACCTTCTTCCCTGGCTTCTCTCCTCAGGCCAAACCTTATCTCCCTTGACCTGAGCTTCAACAGCCTCACGGATCTGCTGGGGCTGGTCTCCCAGCTGGCCACTCTGCAGAAGCTCCGCATCCTGGTGCTCCAAGGGAACCCCCTGGCTCTCATCCCCACTTACAGAGGCTTCCTCGTGGACAGCCTGCCCAAGCTGTCCCTCCTCGATGACATCTACGTAGGGCCTGATGAGAGGCAGCAGTTCCATGGCTTGGCGAGGCAGCCAGGTGAGCCCTCACCTTCGAACCCCGCCCTGGCACTCAGGAGGGGCTTTCATCGAGGTTGAGCTCAGAGCCCTCAGGGCAAACTCTGCCTCTCCTCAAAGGGAGATCCTTCTCTGTGCCTCTTTACCCTGTTAGTACAAGTGAGGAGACAGGCAGGGGACCCTGCAGTGGTGTAACTACAGTCGAGGTAGTTTTAGCTTTAGTCAGGCCCAAGAAACCACCCTGCCCTAGTCCTAGCACTGCTTCTGCATCCCAGCCTGCCCCCAGACACCACCTGGTTTCATACCCCGTGCTTCCCCGTGGAGCTGGTGAAGGAGGATCATCTGTGGTGGGGAAGGGGTTCCCGTGGTGCTGCGGTGCCTGCACACAGCGGTGCCACCTCTGCAGTGTGGGACTGGAGCGGGGGGCTGGGCACACCCGGGGTGGGAAGCCCCTCTTGCTCAGTGAGTTTGTGTGCTGGATGCGCTCTTTGGAAACTGGAATGTTAACCAGGGAGGCAGAGCAGCCAAGCCAGGAGGTGTTTGCATGGATTTGGAGTGACCCCACGTGGCAGTGGCCCGTCACAGCATTAGCACAGGGTGGCACAGAGGGGACACCGCGACCTGGAGGTTTCCTCTTGCTCTGTTCCTTCCTCACTCTGGAAAGAATGTGCAGCAGCTCCACGACAAGATTGTCTTTCTTTCAGAACTAAGCAGGAGTGAAGCTCGGGTGCTTGTGAGTGTTGGGGAGATGAAGGGAGTCCCTGATCCCAGCGCTCTCCAGCAGCTGGAGGTTGGCTCCGAGGCCCCGGTGATCACCTGCAGCTACTTTGTGACCTACGAGTTTCCAGAGGGAGAGGAGGAGTTTGTGGAGGAAGAGGAGCTGGAGGACAAGAGCAACACTGAGGTTGGTCCTTAACTGTGCTCCTGGAAGCCAGCAGACCTGGCAGGCCACAGCAAGGCAGAATCCATCTCCAGGCTATGGAGTGATGGACGTGCCAGGGGCAGCAGCAGTACTGGGGACAGAATTCCCGTGGGGCTGCATCGGGCAGGACAAGTCCCTGCTGCCCACATTCCCTGTCCCTCTTGGGGAGCCCAGAGCTCTGCACATGGGAGTGCTCTCACAGCCCCCCCTCCTGCTGGCTGTGCAGACCCCTCCCCTAGCCCTGGTGTCCCTTCTTCCCATGAGGGTGGGATGGGGAATGGGATTTCAGGGGCAGCTCTGTCCCCTGGTCCCAATGCAAACAAAACCAGACATGCCTGACCAAGAGACCCCTCTCTGTTCCAGGTAACAAAAACGCAGCAGAGTCCCAGGGGGTCCATGCTGGATGTGGACAACTCTGCTCAGGACACAGGAGAAACAAAGAACCAGCAGGACCCTGCAGCCACGGAGGAGCCAAAGGCTCACTCTGGTAATGAGGAATTGTAAATCCCCTGTCCCACCGCTCAGGGCAAGTTTATGGCTCTTCCTGGCCTGTGGTGGCATCAGCATGTCCCTCGCAGTGTCAGCTTGGGACTGATGGATAATGAACTGGTACCAGTCGAAGGAAAGGTCTCCTCAGAACTTTTTTGTGTCCCTACACAGCAAGGGTGTTTGCCACCCCTGGAATGCCCTGGGCAGACACCATCGACTGCAGCTACACAAAGGAGCACATTGCCAAGGACTTGGTGGGGCTGAAGTCCTACCTGGCAGCTGGAACGGTTGTGTCAGTTGTGGAGGAGAAGGTGAGTGTGTGGCAGAGCTGGATGAAGGGGGAAATGCTGCTGGGAGGCCCAGCAGTGGTACCACATTCCCTCTGGGGGGAAGGCTGGGATGGCAGTGACCCTGGGCCCTCCCAGCCCCTGCAGCAGCAGCTCCTCTCTCTGGGCAGGTGCTCTCATGGCCTGTAGATGCTGACCCAGAAGACAATAAGAAGGAAGGACAGGACAGTGCCAAGGTAGGGTGCTGGGAGAGAACAATGGCCAAATTATATATCTGAGTTGCAAGAGTGGTGATGAGAGAACCTGGATTAGTTTGGTGTGTCAGAGAGTCATCCCTCCATCCCAGACCTCTCCCAAAATCCCCCCTTGCCAAGGGAGGAAGGCAGCAGCTGTTTACACACACCTTGGCCTGGATGCAATGATGGGCAAGGGGCTGGGCTTGATTATCTCTGATAAAGGGGCTCCAGCCCTCTGCTGAGCCCTGTCCCTGTGCTGCTGTCCTGCAGCGTTCTCCCTCCAGGGACAAGAAAAAGAAGCAGCAGCAGCAGCAGCCACGAGAACTCCGCAGTGACCCTCCCATTCTGAGAACCCTGGGCACCACCAGGGTGACCTTGGAGGCCCTGCTGGCCACCGAGGACCTGGTGGAGACTGTGTGTGACTTTGGGGTCCTGATCACTGAGAAACCACCAGAACCACCAGTTCCAGAGGAGAAGGTAAGGAACATGTCCCCGGAGAGGGGGGTGAGGCAGGGCTGCCAGGGACAGGCAGTGCTGCAGGCTGGGGCTCAGCATGTCCTGCCCTATCTGCTCTGTCCTCATTGGCCTGGGCATCCTATCCATCCATCTGTCCCTCAGTTCTCCCCTCCCTAAAATGGGGCTGAAATAGCCCTGCCTAACCACCATCCATCCCTGCTGGCATGGCTATTTAACTGATGTTAGCAAGCAGTACCGCTGCTTTTTACGGGCTTAGCAAAATACATGAGTTGATTTTTCCATTTGAGAATGTGAAAGCAACCACTCGTGCTTCCTCTGGTGCTCTCTGTCAGCATGGCAGCACATACCAGCTGTGCCAGCAGTTCCTATTTCCTGGATTCTCCTCTCGGAGCAGCCCCTCTGCTGTGCTCCTGCTCCCCCTCACCTCTTTGCCCTGCCCTGTAAATCCCAGTGACAGCACCCTGATGGTGATGGCTGTCACAGGACGGAATGAGGGCACTGGATTTCAACACAGCCTAACTGTGGAAATGTCTCTCTCCACAGGATGAGAAAAAAGGCAAAGACAAGAACAAAAAGGCAAAGGCAGAAGGTAGGGCTGGCCAGAAAACCTCGGGGTCTCCCAAAAGCCTGGAGCTGGTGGGGGAGAGGGTGGTGTGTGTGTGTGTGAGAGCAAACAGGAGCAGTGCCCAGCCAGAAGCAGCCACAGGGCACAGCCACCCTGGCAGGAGCAGGGACTTACTCACGTCCTGAGCCTGGGGCTGTGAATGCAGACATTGACTGCGGGGCTGTCAGGATGGACACATGCCTGGACACCTCATGAATCACTGTCTGAGCAAGGACCAAGGGTGGGCTGCTGGCTGCCCTGGGGGAGACACCCCCCACCCCCAGCACTGTGTGCCAGGGGACAAGGGCACAGCTGATCTGTGGGTGAGAAATGTGCTGCCCTCTGGGTGGGCTGCCAAGTGTGGACGGTGTGAGGGCTGGCGAGGGCAGCAGGGGGAGGGCGGCCTGGGACGCATAATGAGCTCCTTATCCATTTCCAACTCACATCTCAAAGCACTTTGCAGAGGGGATTATTGTTCTTCCTGGCTTGGAGATGAGCTGCACACAGAGCCCCAGGTGCCCCGTGGCAGGGCTGGGAACACACCCCAGTCTGCTGTTCCCTGTGAAGGACCACCCTGACCCCAGCGGGTGTCCCCTCCCCAGGGCAGAGCTCACAGGCTGCTCAGCCAGCAGTGTTGCTTAATCCACTGGAGACAAAACTCACCCTGCCCCTTGCAGGTTATTTTTCCTTGTTTTGGACTGCAAAAATAGCAGTGACAGCACTTTGGAGGGGTAATGCAAGAGCAGGAGGAAGTGGGGGAGGGAAGGGTGGTCAGGCAGTGCTGAAAAGCTGCTCTTGGGTCAGTGAGATCACGGAGAGGGCCAGACCTCCCCAGCACCACTCAGAGCTACCAAAGGAGCCTTGTTTCCCTGCTCTGGCATCAGATTTAAGAGTGCAATTAACCCCCTTTCCCAAGAGCTCCAGGCTGATTTCTGTGCCCCATCACCCACAGCAAGGTCCCCATCTTTGGGGAGGACCTCAGAGCCTGTAGTGTGTGCACTAGAGGAAGCCTGTGGCCTTCCCAGCTACCTGAGAAGAAGAAAACCCTTTGAATTATTGTTCCCCTCAAGAAGATGTGCATTTGCAATGTACACCCAGCCCGTTGCTGAAGCAGAGCAGGCAGCTGCTGTCGAACAGCTGAACAGTGTCAGCACTGGTGTTTCTTCCTTCCTCCACCCCTGTCCTGTAGTCAGTAGGAGGTTTTCCTTTCAGCTTGAATGAGGGTGAACCCTTTGTGTTGGGGGTTGTGTGGCCGGAGATGGTGTTGGATGCACAGCTGACACAGGAAGCCCAGAGCGATTCGAGGCTCGTGGTTAATTTGGTGTCCCCGGGTGCCTGTGCAGGTGGAGGCCGCTTGGCTGCACCGCAGGCCCACAGAGGACGTTTCAAAGTGTGAATGCAAAATTCACAGTGCCTACAAATGAGCTGCCCCCCACAGCTCGCTCCACTCCGTGTGCCGTGGCCCCGTGCTCCGATGTGACTCACAGGAACACCCCGACTGCGGCTTGAGGGGGGCAGCTCGAGCATCTCTGCACATCCTGGCTGTGTCTGCACCTCCTGGCTGCTCTGTGAGTCACCAGGGTGCACCGTGGCCGTCTGGCGCTTGCTCATCCCCTGGACACCACGTGCCACCCTGGAGCAGGAGCAGAGGCCACACTCCGAGGGACGGGGACGGCTCCTGGCCGTGTGTCCGGCCAGGCTGTGCAGGGACCGGCTCTCTCCCAGCCGGGAGCTGAGACTGATTTGCATCCCTCGGTCAGCAAATGCACACAAATAATAAGTCCTCTCAGAGGAATTGGGATCACTTCCAGACGGCTCAAAGAGGAAAGGCAGCGAGCTTTGTCTCGAGTGAACAGTTTGCCCAGACATTGAAGGATGTCTTCAGAAGTAGCCTCACGTACGTCTCATTTTACCCCACGCTCCATTTTGCAGGATCCTTGAAATTATTTATTTCTGCATCTTTCTTTTGTCCCAGGGGAATTTAACAACAAATACGTAGCTTGCACCCAGATCAGTTGCCTGCCTAAAGATGCTTCTTGGGCTTCTTATCTGAAGTCATATTCAAATAGATTTCCCTCAAGGCCCAGCAGGCAGTGCTGACACCATGGGCAGTCCCCCTGCACGCTGCTGCTTTCAGGGTGATTTACTGTCTCGAGGCAGTGACAGATTTACTTCTTTCCACAGGAAAAGGAAAAAACAAAGATACTGCTGAGCTGGAGGAAGGTCAAGAGCTCCAGCCGGTGCCACTGGTGGTTCAATTCCAGATGCAGCTGCTTCGGTGGCCCTTGGCAGTCGGTGCCCACAGCCAGGAGAACGAGGCCGTGGAAGTGGAGAAACCCCAGTAACGTGTCCATAGCCGAGTGGGAAATAAACCCCGCGGGAACACTGCGTGGATCCTGGTTGAGCCGAATCGCCAGAGCTGGGAGATCCCACTGGATTTGTGACGGTCTGGGGCTGCTGCTGAGCTTCTGCCGGGGCTGCGGTGGGCGGGGGCTGGTGCGGGGTGTGGAGCGCGAAGTGTAGGTAAAGAGGGGGTGTGCGGGGTGGAGGGGGGTGTGCAGCGCCCGGGACACGCTGCCCAGTGCCAGCCCCCCCTCATCCCCCGCCCACGGGTGGGGGCCGGCAGGGGCGGAGCGGGGCGGGGCAGCTCCGCTAGGTCGGCGGCGGCTCCGCGGAGCGAGGTGGAGGTTTTGCCGTGCCGGGGACACCGTGGAGGGAGCCGGCGGCTCCCAGCCCGGTCAGCGGGGCCGGGGGCTCCGGAGCGGCCGCAGCGCTCCCGCCCTCGCCGGCGGCACCGGGTCCCGGCGAGGGGAAACACCGAGCCCCGCCCGGGGGGAGCGGCCGGCGCGTCCCGTCCCTGCCCGCGGACACTCCGGCAGAGAAGGGCTCGTATTGCTGTGCCCAGGGCCGGTCGGTGCCGGGGGCTGCCATGTATCCCAGGATCAGGAACCTCGCCCTTTACACCTTCTCCATCACGCTGCTCGCCTGCGTGTTGTACCTGAGGAAAGAGGCAAAGCTGGAGGAATCGTCAGCGGACCAGAAAATGGATGTAGTGAGTCACAAAGTGAAGTCTTTGGTTCTGGACAACGCCGAACCCACCAAGTGCCTGCCGAACTTGACCCTCGCCAATTCTTCCCTGGCCCTCCCGGAGCTTCACCGCGTGTTCTTAACGTACAAGCACTGCCGGAGCTTCCCAGTCCTGCTGAAGCCTCCCAGGTGCAGCAAAGAGATGTTCCTCTTGCTGGCCGTCAAGTCCTCCCCGATCAACGTGGACCGGAGGGTGGCAATCAGGAACACGTGGGGAAGGAGATCTCTATCAGGGGCAAGAACATCAGGCTGGTGTTCCTTCTGGGGCGCTCAGAGGCCAAAACCCAGGTGCAGCCCCTGCACCAGCTGCTGGCTTATGAGAGCCAGGAGTTTGGTGACATCTTGCAGTGGGATTTCGTTGACAACTTCTTCAACTTGACCCTCAAGGAGCTGCATTTCCTCCGCTGGTTCGTGGAGGACTGTCTGCACGCCAGGTTTGTGCTGAAGGGCGATGATGACGTGTTCGTCAACACTTACAACATCATCGAGTTCCTCCAAGAGCTGGACCCTGAACAGGATCTCTTTGTCGGGGATGTGATCGCCAACGCCCGGCCCATCAGGAACACCAAGGTCAAATACTTTATCCCAGAGGCCATGTATGGAGCCTCCTTTTATCCTCACTATGCAGGAGGAGGGGGGTATGTGATGTCTCGAGAGACAGTGCGTCGCCTCCAGAGCACCGCAGAGGACACGGAGCTCTTCCCCATAGATGACGTGTTTGTGGGAATGTGTCTGGCGAAGATGTCGGTGACCCCAAAGAACCACCCTGGCTTTAAGACTTTTGGGATCCAGAGACCTTTCAACGCTTTCGATCCGTGCTTGTACAAAGGGCTGATGGTCGTGCACAAACTCAACCCCACGGAGATGTGGATCATGTGGACGCTGGTGAGGGACGACAGCATTCGGTGTGCGGTGTCGATGGAAAAGAAGCTCCTGCTGAGCCCAGCGGGGTTGTGACTGGTGGCAGGCACAGGGTACTAAACTAAAAGTCAGGTTGTGGTAGAACCGTGTCCGTTACTAACAGACTGCGCTGGAGCCTCAGGGTTTGGTTTGCAGTGAGTCGTTTTCTGTCGGGGTTTTGCTTGAAGCAGCTGAATTGTCACAGGGTGGGGATGGTGAGACACAGCACAGGGGACTTGGCTCAGCTCCTCCCAGGGAAGTCACAACTGCCATGGGAATGTGAGTGAGGGGCCACCTGCTATGGAGGCTCCACAACACCAGTGTCTGACTGCCGGCCAAATTCAGGCTCGTGTGGGGAGGCCAGTGGTGACTGATGAGTGACAGAGCACTTGAAGGGATGGAGGAAAGGCCAGTGTGTGCTGCTGGGTCTGCTGTCAGGGCAGCAATCCCACAGCTCCTGCTGGACAGCAGGAGAAAGGGAGTGGAGTGGGTAAGAAAAATCCTCAAAAATATATTGCCTTAACACAGCAGTGATGATGACCCGAAGGACTGGGCTCTGACTCAAGCCCTTTGGCTTTTACAGAAGGTCATTACAGGTTTACTTGCACTGGAAACTTTTGCACAAAGACTTTCTGATCAGGTGTGAGAGGAGCAACGTGTCTTGAATAATCACAGTGGTAGGAAGAGGGGCTGTACCGTGTCATGTTGTGTAGGAGGTGTTTGGTTTTTTGCTGTTGTGATGGTGGGTACAAATAAAACACAGTTTTGAAAAGTGTTTTTACAGGAATATTCTTGAGTCTTCTGAAAGCTAAGAGCCCTAAAAGCCAGGGAAGGCTGAGATCTGGTGCTGGGTGTTTGCATTAAGGAGTCATTATGTGGAAATGCCACTTCCTTTCCTGTGAGCAGCTGCTGTTCTCTGCCCTGTCAAGATGCGTTGACACGAAAGTGATTCATCTGAATGGGCTGGAGCTGCTAATTTGAGGAAATATCAAATATGGAACTAAGATTTGGTGATACTTCTGTGAAACTCCTCAGTGCCGGCATGTCTTGCTGCTAGAGCAGAACTGGTGTGCTGTGTGTGAGCAAGGAAGCAGCCTGGAAGCTTTAGGAAAAAAACCATAGTGGGTGGAGAGGAAGTGTGTGATTACAGAAGCCAAAGCCATTTGGGTTGTGCTGTTGTAATTGCTGTCTCCAGTGCCAGCTGCCCAGTGTTCACCCCACCAGATGGGAGCTGCAGCTCTCAGAGGTGCCTGGGAAGTGCTTCCAGGAGGTTTTTGCTTGTGGGACAGACAGGGACACTGAGGACACCCCGAGGCCAGAGGTGTGGGGAACTCTCAGGGCAGGGGGCTTGCAGGGCTGCAAATACCCAGCAGGACGTGCTGCTTTGGCTTTCCCAAGCACCCAGTGCAGGTCTGGCTGAGCCCCAGCTGTGACCCAGCTCTTGGGGCAGAAGGTGCCACTCTCAGGTGAGCTGTTCCTGTGCCAGCTGCGAGTAAGGGTTTGCCTCAAAGAGTTACTCTGCTGAGGGGTGGGTGCCCATCCTCAGTGTGGTCCTGTGCAAGTTGCCACTGTGTCTTCTGGCTGCAGCCCTACCAAGGATTAATTCCCTGTATCTGAGAAATTCCCTGTGTGTAGTTTCAGGTGCATTGGCTTTGTAAACAAGGTCAACTCTCAGCAGCAAACTCAGTTTCTGGGCACAATTCTCTGGGTGCTGCTGCTTGTCCTGGAGAAGAGAGTGGGCAGGGCGGGTGCTGTGGTGCCCTGGGAGCTGCTGTGCCAGCATTTTCCTGATCCACTCAGTGATTCCCAGTGCAAACTCAGGAACACAGAGCGTGATGTCATGTCTGTTGTGGGTTTAGGTGTACGGGCTCATCCCCAGCTGGCAGCTCTCACTTCCTAATAAAGGCTGAGGGACTCCCTCCTGCCCCGTTCTGGGGGTGATGTGGAGCTGTTCATGCTCCTCACTCCCACTGTGATTTGACTGGCTGGTTCTGTCATGTCAGGCTGGATGTGTGTGGGAACAGCTTTTGGGAAGTGCAGGGCATGCAGTGAAACGAGAAGTGGGGTGACAACAGGGCTGGGAGCAGGCTCTGAAGAAAAGGGGAAGAGGGAGTTTCCTGGCTTTGCAGGCTCCTGGCAGTGCTCTCATCTGCCTGCAGCCCTGTCTCTGCCATGCAAACATTTTGACTCATCCTCCTGCCCAAAGATGAGTTTGGGGCCTCCTGGCACAGCAGACACTGCCAGCTCCCTGTGAGCTGAATTCCAGACTGTGTCATCCTCCCTGGATACAGCAGCACCCACCCAGTAAGGAGCAAGGAAAGGTGGTTGGTTAATTCTTTTACTACTTAATCTGTAAATGTACAGTGCTGTGCAGCTGAGACTGCATTTGTTCCAAGGCCAGGCGAAATGAGACAATTTATGCTACAGAAAATTCCTCCTCAGTTTAGTAACAGCCACCTCGACACAGACACAGTGCATCAGATGGTAATTTGTTGTGAAAAACCTGTGAATAATGTGTGTTTTCTTACAAAACCTGATTCCAGCCAGCAATGATAAAGTTCTAGTGGATACTGTTCTACAAAACCAATTTCACGTTAGCTGTGGAGTTAGAAAATGAGCACAGTGAAAGACAGCTGTGGTTCTGAAACCTGCAGTGAAACGTCAAGCTTGCAAAAGAGAGAATTCAGATTATTTCCTGAAGCTTGTGCTCAAAAGCATTCAAAATGCTTGCTGCCTCGTAAAGAAGTCCGTGGCAGTTGCCAAAATAATTTTGTTTATAACCACATTATCTTGACAATCAAACCCTCCTTTTGCTTCCTGGGGAACCTCCTGAGGTGTGGTGACTCTTTGGTGGCAGAGGATGCTGTGCTGAACTGCAGCACTTCACCAAGAGCCTGAGTAACTCCATGGAAATTCTCAGCTCTACAGCCAATATTTCCCCCGAGTGCAGCTCAGTGGAATTTGGTGCAGCTGTCAGCTCAGACATTAAAAACTTTGAAGTTCAAACAGAAAAAAGGGCTTAATCTCTCACCCAAACGGTGACATGGTCACAATGGGATGCTTTTGCACAGTTTAATAAAGGCATCTCCTCACACAAATCATTTACTTCACAGGTTAAAACCAAGGTTCTTTAAATACACTTCTTTGGCTGATCCCTAATGAGCTCCCCCAAACACATCGAACTTCCCAGCAGAGACACAATGAACACCGGGCTGTCCTCGATAGCAGTCTTCACATTTGCATAGATAAACGTTTAAATAAATGAATCCAAAAGTATTACAAACAAGGTAAGTTACAAACAGAATAGAGGCCTTCCAAATACCTGGAAGTGACTTGATTTCTACAGCAATCCTGCTTGGGGAAAAAATGGAATCATGGGCATATTTCAGCAGTTTTAGACTATCCCACACAACGGTTTGGGACCGTTCAATTTGTGATTGACTCCCAGATATGCTACAGTTCAGTTCTGTTCAGTCCTCCCGAAGGTAAGGGTCATCACCTGCATCTGTATTTCCTAAAATACCCTGTGGCAATGAAGATTCCTCTCCTTGAGCTTTTATGAGCTCCTGTGTTTGAGCTTCAGCTAATTTGGTCTCTGCTTTCTGGGACAGCTGCCTCACTTCTTGTACCTGTGACTTCACGAGCTGGATGTGGCTGCGGGCTGTCACCGAGGCCTGGTCTGCTCCTGGGGGGAAGAATGGAGAGACTGGGTTAGAGGGGCACTGGGCAACCCTTCAGTTAAGGAAACGACTGCAATTAGCATCTGCTTTGCTGTGTTTGAGATTTCATTGCTCCCCTGGATTCTCCTGCCCCACTGGGATACAGCTGGAGCTGGATCAGAGTGATCAGGTTGTGCCAGTGGGTTTAAGAACTAAGCCCAGCCCAGTCCTTGTGTGCCAGGACCTTTCAGTCTCCTTGTCCTGTCCTGGCACCTACAGCAGCAAGAATGCCTGTGGCACTGTTGGAACTCAGAATCCCTTCTCCTTCCATTCTCCTACAGATTCTGTGTCTTTTTCAGGCACTTCCAAAGTCAGGGTATCCCTGCATATTCAGTGCTTTCCTCCCTTTCTCCACTGCCAGTTTACCATAAACTGACCCATAACTCCATCTCAGAGCTATCACGATCTCTACACAGAGAAAAGACCAAAATTAACCTCTTTTCTTTCTTTAATACAACTGAATTCAGCTAGAAAGCCCTGCTGGACCCCCAGTCAGCCTTATTTCTGTGGCTCCCACAACTGTGTTTGAACCTGCCCTCAAACACCTTTGGTCGCGTTTGCTCTTAACCTAAACCAAGTGTGAAGTTTCCAAGCCTGGTTCTCAGAACGCTTCTATGGACTCACAGCCAAAACCAGAATGTAAGTTCTCAGTCCCTCTAAAAACCAGGCAGGAGCTGTGGATTGGTCAGTTAACTGAGTGAATATCCTGTTCTCCCAGGGAAAAGGGCAAAGGCAGTGTCAGTGCCAGGGCTCACCCGACTGGTAGGCAGCCTCTGCTGCCATCTCCGACAGGCGCAGCGCCGTCATCCAGCTGGACTCCAGCCTCAGGTATTCCTGCTGCTTTGTCTTCACCTGGGGGGAAAACGAGGTGTTACATCACGAGGTGTAACAGCCCCTAAGTGCTCTCCCACCCTTGTGAAAAGGTGAGAGAGATGAGAACATTCTGAGCAGGGTCTGCAGAGGGCAAGGGAAGGGAGGTGGCCACTCACGTCGACTCTGGCTCCTATGACCACCTGCCACACTGCATCCACCTCCTCCGAGTTCATCTTCCCCAGAAGATTTGAGTATTGCTTGTAGAGAGACACCAGGGTATAAACTGCCTGCAGAGGAATCATTTCACACAGTCTGCAACAGCTCTGATGCTGTCTCACAAAATTACTCCTCGTGTGCTTGCTGTAGTAATAAGGGCATAAACTGGAATGCAAATACTTTACTCAAATTGGGACTTTCATTTATAAAATTAAAACCATATCTTGTTGTTTCAGGCTTTAAATATGGCTCACACCATTCTTCTGATGAAACTCAGTTCGTGGCCTTAGAAAGGCAGAGAAGGGAAATAAAATACCCAGGAACAGAGAATTCAGTACACAGGTAATAGAAATAACTGTTATGAGTTTCTTCAGCCCCACTTCTGAGTTCCAGGGTCATTTTGGCTTAAGTAAAAAGAGGGACTTTTTACATGAGCGTGGAGTGACAGGACAAGGGGAATGGATTCAAACTGACAGGGGGCAGGGTTAGGTTGGATACTGAAAAAATTCTTCCCTGTGAAGGTGGGGAGGCCCTGGCACAGGTTGCCCAGAGAAGCTGTGGCTGCCCCATCCCTGGAAGTGCTCCAGGCCAGGTTGGACAGGACTTGGAACAACTTGGTCTAGTGGAAGGTGTCCCTTCCAACCCAAACCATTCTACGATTCTCTCAATTTAACCCAAAAGCAACAGTTTAACAAAGCTAAAAGTAATTTCCATGTTTGGTGTTGAACAGTGAGCCCACGGCTTCCGAGGGACCCGACATCTTCCACCCCACTCCCCTTCAGTTATATTAAATTTTAGAAGTGCATTTTGTGCACGGTTTAAGAGGTGTAATTAGTGCCAGATCCTTCAGTATTTCCAGCAGTGACTGGTGCCGGGTGTGTGCTCTCTCAGCTCACCTTTGTGTACTCTGTGAGTGCCTCGATGAGCGCGTAGGTGGTCTGGGACAGCAGGGTGGCCGTGCTGTCTGTCACCAGGGACACGGCTCTTCTGATCAGGGCATCGTTGCTGAGGGACACCGGTCCCTGCTGCTGCAACACAAGGCATTTCCATGACCTTCACATCCACTGCAGCTCAAGGCAAAGCTAAGGCAGAGCCTCGCTGCTCGTTACGAGCCAAGCGCTCACAGAGGATACAACTGCAGGTTGAAAACGGGTCTGTACCAGGTTAAGCAAGTGTTTTTGGACATTAAACTGCTCCCAAGGAGGGGGTGCCCCCCTCCCACGTTACCTGAGCGACGGGGACAGCACACAGGGCCACCCCCAGCCCCAGGGCCTGGTGCCACCGACCGCTGGCACCCGACAGGCCTCGTCTCCTCACCCCGGCCAGGACCGGGAAAGCGTGCCTGGAAATGCAAGGGGAGAAGCTCAGCACAAGAAATAACCCCTGTCTGCTGGGGAACAGCGATCTGAGAGGACAACAACCCCTCGAAGCTGTTCTAGGGGAACCAGGCTTCTGGAACGGAGCTGCACAACAGTGAGTGGGTAAGCTTGTTTCAAATTTTGCATTGTTACTGAATTATTGTGACTGGATTATTGTCACTTAAGTGCAAGGAAATAAGACAAGCACAATAACTAGTGCATTACTAAGAGAGGAAATCTTATCTGGTATGAGCACGCTGCTGGTAGCCAGTAATATTGAAAATCAGGTTAAAAAACATGCTTGAAAGTGGTGTTCGGTACATGCAGGTGAGAAATGTGACAGGGAATTTGTTACAATCCAGAGACACTCCCGTGGACAGTTTTATTTACATCCCACGCCGTGCAAACGTCCCTCCCCCGGGGGTCAGGGCCTGCCACTGAAAACACTCGAGCAGAGAAAAGAAAAAGCGCGGGAGCAACGCGGCAATCTTTGCTATGATGCAGCGATCTCCCTGAAAGAAAAGCGACCGGGTGGTTTTCCCTCTGAGCGTCCCCCCCGCCCCTCCCGGCCCGGCCGCGGTACCTGAGGAGGGAGCAGCAGCCCCGCGCCCACCGCGCGCCCGCCGCCATCTTGGGACGCGCGGCGCGGTGACGTCACCGGGGCGGGGCCCGGCGTGAGGGGCCGTGAGGGCGGTGGCGGCACCGAGGGACGGGGGAGCCACCGGGAATGTCACCGGGAATGTCCCAGCGCCTCCCGCTACAGTGTCAGTGAGCCGGGCATCGCTTTGTTCCGGCCGGGGATGCGTAGAGAGTCGTTCCAGCCACGTACATCCCCTTTAAGACTTTTCACGTGCACTTTTTAGCGTTTTAATTTTTGGTTCCAAGTCACACCGTTCCCTTAACTTAATTAGTGATCTATCTCCCTTATTGACTATCTTGGTCAGCATTCTTTGGTCCTCTTATCATTCTTCCTCAGGCGGAGAGTCTCCAGCTCTCAGGCTGTACTGTCTTTTTTAATCCCCTTTGTATCTCCTGGTTACTCCAACGTGTCTTTGAAGGGCCAGAAATTTAAGATCCCAGATGTCCAACCTTCAACTCCCTCAAGCAAGAAGGGAGATTTAATCCATGAAACAGCAGCACACAGGCTCTAAGTGGTGTCCAGGTGTTGGAAAAACAAATGACTTGTGAGTAGAATTGCCTTGTTCAGGTTTAGGGCTGGACATGTTTCAGTGATCTCAGAGCTGGGGCAGGTTAACAAGGTGAAGGGAGAAGATTTCCACTGATGGTGGACACAAGGAATGCAGAATTTACAGGCCAGAAAGGCATGGGGCAGAACCCTTAAGAGAAGGAAGAAACCAATAAACCCAACTCAGCAACTGGGCTGAAATTGGCTCCAACGGGGTAAAAGGTGATTCTGACTGACCCAAGAAACCCCCAGACCCAAAACAAGAGAAAGGCTGAGCATGGCACTGATTCACATGAGAAATGAGAGAATCATTAAACAATAGAAGATAGAACACTAATTAATGAGAGAACTATGAAGCTTGTAGCCCATGAACATTAATTCCTTTGCTTGCCCTTTCCTTGCCACTGTACCTCACAAAAACAGTAGTGAGAGGGAAACCTTGTACTGGTTTGAAACGTCTTTTTCCAGGACTTCTAAATAAACCGACAAGTAATTTCTGTATCTCTGCCTTCACACCCTTAATTAGGCAGAGTTGGACAAGGCAGGACTTGTTTATTGTGATGTTGGTCGTGTTGGAATTGTGCTGCATCCCTCCTGTCCCTTTCTAGGCAGGGTGGGCGTCTCAGGAGAAAACTGCTGGGAGGCTTTTAAACATTTCAGGGAACAGAGGCAAAAATATCCAGGGAGACACAAAGAACCTGCAAGAGCCACAAAAGATCAGCAAAGCGCATGCAGGTGGATGCCTTTCCTTTCAACCTTTATTGTTTTTACATAAGAAAATAAGGTTGTGGTGAGGCTGGAAGGACACAAAACACTTGCAGGTTTGGCGCAGGGGGAAGGGCCGTCCATCCCGCGTGCCGGAGCCGGCTGCCTCTGGAAAGGCGGTGGCTGCAGCAGCAGGAGCAAGAGCAGAGCCCTCATTTGAGCACCAAGAAGTAGGTGGTCCAGCCAGCGAGGAGCAGTGCCCCCAGCAGCACCGTGTAGCTGAACAGCACGAAGGCCAGCAGCTCCCTCAGCACCTTGAGGACGTGGATGGCGAAGGACTCCGGCATCGCGCTCTCCGGCAGGTAGGATCCCTGGGGTTGGATGCTCCTGCTTCTCCCCGGCCTGTAAGCACAGGGACAGGGTGAGTCTTCCCGAGCAGGGAGACTGTAATTCCCAGTCTCAAAGCCTGTGATCGGGAGGGTTGATGCCCACCTGGGGTGTTGTTGGTGTCCGGTGGGACTGGTGTGCCTGTTCACAGTCCTCCCGAGCTGTGCAGCGTTGAGAGAGAGTTTGGAATCTGATCAAAGTCTCCCAGTTAGGACTGTTAACGAAGCAGATGGAAATACAGATACAGGCAGTGAGTATGGCCGTGTGGGTGAGGCCAGAGGCTCTTACAGAGTCCAGCTGGCTCCTGGAATCTTTCCCCTGTGGCAGTGCCTGGGTATCCAGGAAACTTCAGGATCAGAGTGGTCACTGATGGTGCATTACCAACAGCGTGTTCTGATCAAAGTGGTCAATTCCTCCAAGGAAGCCACCGTTAATATTTAATGCTATAATTGCATCTAATGGAAATACTGGCACAAACTGAGCCTTTTGTTTAAGAATGACGAAAACTGAGGCTTAAATACAAGTTTGAACAGGCAAATATTTATATCTCGTGTTAAAAATAACCTTTAAATGGGAGACATGGGGTAAAATGCTTTAGAATTCATCTTCTACCTTTATTTTAAAGTCATACTTGCACTTGCTTTGGAAGTGATTGCTTGATAGTTTAAAATTAAATCTAAACTCTTTCACAAAACTCGTCGGCTCCTTAAAGCTGTGAAGACCCACCTAAAAAATTCTATCATCTCCCCAAATTACATGTTCTTTTAAATTTTGATCACAGCTGTGCCTGATGAAAAATATCTACGCTCTTGGTCAAGCACATAAAGGGAGTTTAAAACAAGACTTTAGATAAAGCAAACCCAAAGGGATTATTTCTCTTCTAAGCTGTCTAAAGCCAGCCAGAGTAAACTGAATTCTCATCCTGCCACTTAGAATGTTTTTCAAGGAGGTTTTCTGATAGAGAGTTCACTTTTTGCTGTTGTTAAAGAGTTCAGTTGTTTTATTCTAAGCTCAGGCACATGTATATAGTATAGGAATCATTTCATTTTTAAACCCGCCGTGGTTTCCCGTTGTTCAAGGCGTTGAAGTTTTCTATCCACGGGCTTTACGGGATCCCCGGTTATCTGGAGATGATATACTGATAAAAAATGAGCTGCTTACCCGGGCTCTGGTGTGCCAAGGTCTTCTTTCTCTCTAGTTTTGTTCTGCAGCTGTCCCTTGGATTTCTGGCTTCCCGGGGGTTTGTGCCGTGGGCTGATCCCGCTGTGATCCGCTCTGGAGCCGGGAATAGCGGGGTGTGTGTGCAGGACTAGGTGTGGTCAGGGCAGTTATGATACGACACAGCGCGTCGTGCTGGGAGCAGCCAAACAGCTCCCCTTCCCCAGGGGCTGCTGCCAACAGCATTGCCTGGCTTTAAGCACCAGGGCTTGGTGTTACCAGGTCAAAACCTGCGTTGGTTTAGTTGTGGGGTTTTTATCACCAGCAAAAAGGTGTCATCTGACACTTTTCTGCTCTGTTATCTGGGAGGCTACTGTGCCTCTTGCTCAGTTCCCTGAGAGCCTTGTGCTCTGTGGGCCACTCGGGGAGGAGGAGGAGGAGGAGGATGCTCACACACAGCTGGGGCTGGTCCCAAGGGTGGGACTGTGCAGGCTGGCTCTGGCTCTTTTACCAAAAGATTGGGCTGAGGGCAGCCTAATGCCTGCACTGTCACCAGGTCACTGCTCTGCTGTCCCTTGCCCTCCCAGGGTGCCACCCTGACCTTTCAGAGCACGAGCACTGCAGCCCCTTTGCAGTGAGGGGAGAAGGGAGCCAGGATATATGTTGATTTTTAGCAAAACTGCTTTCTGATACTGCTGGATGAAAAGTGAAAGTCTTTGGGGGTAGAGGTTGGGTAATGCGTTTATTTTTTTTTTGCTTGTAATGCAGAGAGCAGAGAGAAGGAAGATCATGTTCTGCAGATCAAATCTCTTGCCTACAAATATATTATGATGTAGAAAATGGTCCCTTAATTTAATTAGGCTCCCTTGTTATCAAATTATTATCCACATGGTCAGCAGGGCCTTGGACAGAAGCAGAACATAATCAGCTGCTCAGGAAGCCTGTTAAGCAGTAATTGCTCCTCCAGGGAATTATCAATGTCAGGATGGCTTTTGTTTTTTGTTGTTGTTGTTGAATAGTTCCAGGAAGAGACTTTCTCTACGTGGAGTGGCCACACAGCTCAGTGCTGGGGCAGGTCTGCAAAAAACCAGGCAGCAGCTGGTGATAAATGAAGAGTTTACCAAGTGTCTGGGGTTTTGCCTCTAGAGTTACTAACAAACAAACATGTTTTGCTGGTCCAGGTGGAAGGTTAAGTCAGCTGGGGAAGTGGGACTTTGCATGGTTTCCTTTATTCACCTGTGGTGCAGCTTTTACACAGCATGACCTTAGTTCACAGACCAGCCTGATCAGGGCTAGACATTTCCCCAGGATTGCTTCACTTTTTAAGATTTAAAAACAAATAAAATAAAATAAAACCCCCTGGAAATTTGGATAGTACAAAGACCCCCCAGGCCTGGCCAAGGACACTGTAAGGACTGCACTGAGTCACATTGTTTCTTGTTTTCTTCTGCACAGTAACATCTAATTTTTGATCCAAAGCTCATTCAATTTTCTTTTTAAATACTCTGAAATCAGCTACTCTAAATGGAACTGCAGAAATAATTCAGAGCAAGGCAATCCACACTTTGTCCTTGCACCACTGTCAAAGTTGAATAAGTTTTTTTTGCTTTTTTTTTTTAATCTGCATGTTCCCTACCCATGTCCAGTAAAAAGTCTCCCAAGACTGAAATTATATTTTTCTTTAAAAGTCAAGAAATGTAGTATTTTAGGTGGCAAAACAGAATGAAATTTTGAATGAGTGTAAAGAAAAAAACATTCACATATTAAAAAAAAATTGTTTTAAGTAATTCAGGTAATTTAATTTAATTTAATTTAAATAATTCAAGGAAGGGGCAGAAGAACACAGCTACCACAGTGCAGGGTTTTGCTTTATTTATTTTCATATTCCAGAGAGTGTAAACACTTCCAAAGAAAGATCAAACACCTCTTTATTTTATTCTAATAACTAGGGTTAAGCAGACAGAGGGGGCCCATTAAGGGCCTTCATTTGGCAGAACTCAGAAAAATAAAACAACAGGCCAAAACTCACAGTCACAACTGTGACAACTGGGAAAAATGAAAGGGTTTATTGGGCCATATTATGCAGGATAAGTAAAAGCAGAAATGCTTGGTAAGAAAGTGATTTAAGCTGTGGTTTGTTTTTTGGTTGTTGTTGTCTTTAACTAATTAGGATTCCCCAGTGGGGGCTGTTAAAGCCTGTGG